GCCACGCGTGACATAAATACACACTATATGTCAACCGAGCCATCGGTACGAATGCCCGGTGCGATAGAAATGTGTTGATTAGCCCTCCCTTTCCCGATATACACAACCATATCATTAGTGACGTACAGACCGTCCAAATCACTCGACATAATGTATAGAAAACTGTGGCGAAAGCTGGACTAAAGGGTCGGCCGAAACTCCAGTAGACTTTATCCCACAATGGGATACAATAGGCGGCGAGTATTGCGATCCATAGGATAGTCAGCGATGACTGAAATTGGGTTTAAATATTTATTCAAATATAATAACTGTTTAACATTTTGTAAAAAACAAAGACATTTAATACAAACTTTGGTTATATTGAATGTGGGTTTCCTATGGATAGCAAATCCAAACATAATAGCAATGAAATACATGACTCCATAAGACGGCGGAAGTTTGTGATAGAGATTACCGAAATATCTTTCAAAATGTTCCCTTAAATTATATAAACGTAAAAGTATCATGGTGATTATTATGTTGTAACTTATGGTAAACTAATAAAGTTGTTTACATACGTTCGCGATGTATGGATGATAGCCGGCGGCACTTCGTATACATATATCATAATCGATGAGATTATTAAAAATATCACAATTATGATTGTGTTTAATATAATCCCCGCTTTCTTATTATACAGATAGGCTAATAAAACAATAGCTGTCATTACGTGATATTGAAAGTCCAGAGCGATATACCACGTGTGAACCGCACACTGTTTTTTTTGTTTAATTAAATCAGTAACTATTAACTAGATTATTATTTAAGTTATAGTATAAAAACTAAAAGTTTAGTTATAAAAGTTATACCATTTGATCAGATTTGTAGAGATTTTGAATGAGAAGCAGATTTAGCCACCAATTGGTCTCACATTTGTCAACATTACTGCCGACCACTTCAGCCCAAAGAGGGCCCGAACCCAACAGTGGTAACAAAAATGTCAATAATATAAATATCATTAATTGTGGCAAAAGTCGGGCCAAACGTAACACAATATAAAGGAATAAACTAAAATTTTTGGGTTTGCCTTTTGTAACCGATAACGATATATAAATGGTGAGAATTGCGCTAAAATGTGGTAAAATTATTGCTAAATAAACAACTTTTTAATTTAAAGAATGTAAACATAAATACCTTATGATCAAGAATGTGACGATTCCGTACTCGGCATTCAATAATGGATGTGATGTAATGTCAGTCAATGTATGTTTGGTTTT